CACATTTTTGCGCGAAGCGGTGCGTGATCAGAGTCCATACAAGTTGACCAGTACGATCAGTAGTATACATTACGTTTCCGCGCCATTTGTGGCTTATTTCTATGTGGTCATGCTTTGACCATTCTTGTGTTTGAGAAGGCGGACGCCAGATAGCAGTCTGCATTTTCGAGTGACGAAGACTTGTACTCGAAAGAAACAAGCGGTGGTTAGAACAACGAATCACTAGTCTGTCACCATTGTTTGATCGGCTGCTACCGCGGCCAAAACTACCCCCAAGATTGTGCTCGCTTGTTGGCAGACGCCCCACTCGTGCGTTAAAATCTCCGGCAAGAATGACAATGTCGGACTTTTAGCGGAACGCAGTAGCTCATGTAGCTATTAGTAAAAACAATCCTTGGCCGCATCCGGGCTGCAATGTGTAGGCGCGTAGGCGGAGATGACAAACATGGCACGCGTGACATCTCGACTCTTACTTAACTTACATAAACCTTGTAGTCTGACTCCACATAGCCGACTGTTGACTGGGATCCAGTCAAGCAAAACGACCTCAGTCCCAGCACTCAGTACATCCCCGATATTATCTTGGCCAGAAGCGGCGACCTCTGGGTCTCCGGAAAGGCGCAAGTGGTACTTGACGTCAGCGTTTGCTGGAGATGTCATTCTGATGGGGGTACTGGTGTCTTGCAACCTGGTTTCGGAAAGGCAACAGATGTCCACCGAGAGTGTCTCAAGCGTGCAGACCAGACATGCTTGTCGTCCGAACTGCAGTAGAGTGAGCACACTGGACACTGCAAGGCCGAATGGAGAACCAGGACGAAGGCAAGCTTGGTCTTCGGTTGAGTGTGCAAGTTTTGTGACCACTGGCAACGAACACCAAACGTTTGGCTCAGAACTCTGTCAGATGCGACCAGTGAACTGTTGTTGACAGTGACCGGGGAGGACATAGGTGCAGTTGAAGAACGGGACGTGGGACGATCTGCGAGCGTATGTTGAGCAGCAGAGGCATTAAAGCCAGTAGACAAAAGAAGACAGAAAGTGGTAGTGTCATCCATCTATGGTTCGTCAGTGGGCGTGATACTACCCAGTTGCTCAGGCTGAAGTTGAGGGTTGTCTTAGAGGGCTCTACTCCGAGCTTTTTATCCAGAATCTAACTTACAAGGCAGCAGAGCGATATGAGAGTATGGTAACCCGTTGGGGCCGGTGACCAAACAAGTGTTTCATACGCCTTTAGGACCGCATAGGACCAGGGGCTTAACGCGCCCTGGAATTACAATGCCGTTCTGAGAGAGGCAAGGGACAGTGACTTTATTTATTGGCGAGTCACATTCACCACGGGACGTTGTTGTTCAATGGACGAATGTGGCTTTTTATAGGGAGAACGATTACCAGACGAAAACCCACCACGTGCTGGAACACTGCCGCCGAACCATTCGCTGGAAGGGGATAATCCCGAACCACCCAGCTGGCACCACGAGGAGGTTGTTCGGCAAGCCAACCTCGAAGCCTTTGAAGGACTAGATCTCTGATAATGCGAGAGAAACCCGTCTCACGTATTCCACAGACTACCGTCGCTTGAGACGTAAAGCAACCCCCTCAGCACGTACTGATCACAACCGATACTGGTCTGTTATCGCTGGCAACATGGAAGCTGCATCAAATTCTGGCAGTTTTGATCATCTTTTTCGTTTCGTTCGTTTAGCTTTCGGTAAGCGCTATTCACCACATCTGATATTGCGCAATTCGGAAGCCCAAATCATCTCCGACACTGAAGAACAACTTTCCAGATGGGTAAAATATTTTAACAACCTAAATCGCCCACTACGCGTCACCACTCTCATTTTGGCATTAATCCATACAGGATATAACGCGGATGGTTCACCACCATCTCACACAGAAATTGCAGACATCTTGCGTCACTTGAAGCCGAAGAAACCCTGGAAACGGACGGGATTCCAGCGGAAATCTACACATCTTGTCTACCACCTCTCTTTGTTTATTTGCACGCGGTCTTCTGCTCGATATGACAGACCGAAACCTGTCCTTCTTCTTTTAGTACCTCAGTACTACTGCCATTTCCCAAGAAAGGTAACCAAACTGTATACAGTCATTATCGTGGGATTAGCCTAATCGACGTGGCTGCCAACGCATTCGCACGAATCTCGCTTTCCCGCTTTGTTAATGAGAGGAACATGCGAACTCGCCGTAACCAAGGTGGCGTTCGTCCAGGCAGAGGCTGCACTGATCAAATCTTCACTCTACGTCGGGTACTCGAACACCGCCACCAGTTCCAGCAGCCCACGTTTGTGTGCTTCGTTGATTTTCGAGCTGCCTTTGACTCAGTTGACCGCGAAGCACTCTGGAAAATTCTACTTGCCGATGGCGTGCCGGTTAAACTCCTTAACTCGATGAGATCATACTACCGTTGTACGAAAGCCCGGATTTGGTTCTATGGAAAAAAACAGCAGAATTCCACAATACTGGAGTCCAACGGGGTTGCCCACTTTCTCCCTTGCTGTTCCACTTCTCAGTCGACTGCGTTATGCATCATGCCCTTGAGGGCTATCGTGGTGTTCAAGTTAGCCCTGACTTCTGGCTGTCAGATCTAGATATCGCTATTATTGCGGAAGATTCTTTATCAATACAGTCACTGCTAAATCGGGTCGACCAATCAGCCTCTATGATCGGCCTCGAAATTAACATCAGCAAGACGAAGTACTTCTCATCGTCAGCCACCCAGTCCTCTCCGTCGCTCTCCTTACATGGACAACCCATCGAATCTGTTCCTAAGTTCAAGTATCTCGGATCCACTATTCTCCCCCATGGTCGGGTTACATCCGAAATCCGGAATCGTATTGACAGCGTTAGCACAGCCTTCTTACAACTGAGAAACACATTGTGGCGAAGGACGGAAATTAGTCTGAGAACGAAGACCGGACTAGTCTCAGCAACCATTCGTGCCATTTTACTCTATGGTTGCGAAACATGGCCGCTGGGATCCGAGGACACCCGGAAGCTGGAAGTCTTCGACCTTTAGTGTCTAAGGCTTATCTTGAAAACGCAGTGGCATGAGCGTATCACCAATGACGAAATCCGTAAGTGTTGTCATGGGCTTCTGAAGCTCACAACGCTCATACGGCGACGCAGACTCCAGTGGTTCGGTCACATCCTCCGCAGACCAGACACTGACTTCACTAGGGCCGTGATTTCACCCTCGCCTTGCCAGGGTTGGTGTCGTCGCCGTGATGGACACTTGAAAACGTGGATCACTGTAGTGAAATCGGATGTCGATCTTCTGGGACTTCAGGTTGTGTATGATGCTCGTCATTAGCGAAATAATTGGATCATCATCTGCAGGAAGCTTGTCGCCGACCGTCGCGCTTAGGCAGCTGCAATTCGCGACATTCATAAAGCCGGCTCATCTTGTCGCAGGAGCTAGCGGCAGTAAAGTAACGTAGGTTTGACACAGCGCTGTACCATCTCTTATTTTTGGTGAAGAAACTGGTGAACAGCCCAGAACTCCCCAGGCTCTGAGACTTTGCCGCTGATTGTCCGCGACTGCTTATTCATCTCGGCTGCAAAGCAGACAGGATGTTGATTGTTAATTCTGCTACGTATGGACCACTACTCATCCGCACGTCTCCCATTTTCCTTCCTTGGAATTTACGTTGGATATAATGCGTTTGTTTTGTGATGGCCATACTACGTACGATCCTTCCGTTGACACAAGCATACTGAGGCTGTTCGCAGTCATCTTCGCCGGCAAATTTTGAGACGTAAACACCAATCGTACTTTCTCCCTAATTACGGTATACTTAGATGGCACCGCAATCGATAGTGGCAGCATCAAGTCCTCTTTTCCCCTGAACCCCTACCAGCCTATTGCTCCTTGTTGGTTTTCCCCAATCGGGTTGTGTTTAGTATGAACTCATTGTCTTTAATGCCATTGTTGGGTTTGACCGAGGTGACCCGTGCCCCGCGTAGGTGTCAAAACGCTTGTAAAGCTAGACAAAGCACAAGTCACCGAAAATTCAGCAACTCAAAGGTCGGATCTGATCTACGGTGCTTAACCATTTCCAAACATATGGACGAGCAATCCGTTGTCCAAACTATGCAACTCGCAGCGAATCGGAACTGGGCAGTCCATTGTCATTCGGATGAAATGATAGTGGACCTCAGTTGAAGTCAAAAAAAATTATACAGTAAATCTGGGTAGCGTGTCAATCACAGTTAGTCGGTCCAAAAAGAGACGATTTTTGAGGTGTCTAATTAACTGGTGGAAAACACAAATTAGGGAAACAAGGTGAATAGACAAAAAGGGCGATGTTAGTACGGGGGGATTGTGGATGTGATTCACAACTGAAAGTGGAGCACAGAGAACCAGACGGGCGTGGTATGAACAGAATTTGGGAGGAGAAACTCGATAAACAGAGGGCATTGGAGCTTGACGACTAAATGGATCCTTGCCAATAGAGATTTAAGAGTAAGCATGCAATCTTAATATAGGTAGGAAGAAAATATAATGCGTCCAAGGGAAAGAAATGTCCATTCCATGTGGTTGTAATGAATTCCCACAGGTTGTCAGTACACTACTTTTCTTGCTCGCAAGTGAATATTTAACCGTCACCCTCTCTCCTTTGCCGAAAGTCGGTCGCCTCAGTGAAAATAACTGGCTACTAATCAACTGTATTGCAACGAAAATTGCAAGGTTTTCGGGCATTTCGTTTTCCCACTTCGTTGATAATCGGATCTCATGGTGATATTTTTCTCCTTTTACTTCCTTCGTCGTCCTATTCTTGTTGTTTCTCCGCTTACTAAAAAAGTCATTCGGCTTAACTACTCACGTTATTCTACACATCTCTATAGTTTTAGCGCTTTTGTCATCCACAGGCCACTGAATGACTGTTTATATATGCTTCTTATTGCGCCATGATCTTCAACATCTATGCGACTAATCTTCCATCAACTATGTGTATCTAATACCTCCTTCACAACGTTTTCAGGGTCGGCAAGTTCCCGATGTCCGCTAATTCCCGCGCAAAAACGATTGATGAACCAGAGGGCATGTTCAAGGTGATCGCTCACCAAGAAACGGATCGCATCTTGGGAGTTCATCTGCTAGGTCCCTCCGCTGGCGAATTAATTAACGAAGCAGCTCTTGCTATGGAATATGGGGCTTCGGCGGAAGATGTGGCTCGTGTTTGTCACGCTCATCCTGTGAGTGAGATTTTTTGCTTTACTGTAACAGTTATTAGCACTTGACCACGACTTCACTATAATTTCTACCAGCTTGCATTTCCACCAATCTCATCGGTCAATTTTTTTTTAGCAAAGCCACTAGTCTACCGTCAAAGCCTTGTTCCCCGTGTCGAATGCTTCCACTTTATGTACCATTCCGACATCTATCTTCTCCTATCGGCTGCTTTAGTCAGCTTATTTATCGGCGCATTACCGATGATCATCCTCATTATACACGCCAGCTAGGGGTGAGAAATACCACACCTATTGTGCCTCATTACAAACCAGACGGGTGGTAGCGAAAAGTTATTATGCTGTTCTTACGTTTTGCATTAATAAAGACACGGTGGTTGGAGCGGAAAATGCAACTCACAACACAGACGCAATTGTTTATAACCAGTTTTGTTCCTCGTATTTAAAATTCCCAGTCAGGAATCTAGAGGCTCCAACTGATGTCAACTACGAAAAAAGGGTCCTTACTCCACTTGACTAAGTCATCAGTTGGTCTCACCTACTCTTCTGCAAACCAGACCTCGGACACACAAACAATGCATGTCGGGGGACTTGGTATGCCCAGCCATCGGAGCCTGGTGTGTAAATCAACGGTGCTGAGCACTTCATTCACTCTTTATGCGTCATACTCAAGACGGCGAACATGCTCATTTCTAACAGAGTGATCCCATCAGATGTCAGCTAAAAATGCAGAGATGCCGGTGTCCTAGCGTAACCAGCATCTTTACGTCTGTCGCTCTGACGGATCAGTATCCACAACGGCGGCATTGCAGATGCTACCCCTCAGAGTGAGGGTAATCTCGACACAAGTGGCAAAGCTTGACAAAAGCACCTCGAGCTTTTTCCGCATGGTTCGTAATCTCATCCTTGATCTCACAGGTCTTTATGCAGCAGCTCAATTAGTTGAATTCTCCTAGGACAAAAGTCCGCGTCAACATCGGAGGACAGCTTTGCATTTAGAGAGCACAAAACGTAGCCCTAAACTGCTAACAGCCAGTGTTTATCTGTCCAGTGCTAATTGGCGCGTTTGTGAGTTGTCATGAATTGGAACAACATTGTCGGCATACACCAAGTGAAGAACCAGTTCAGCACCCTCTAAGTCGTGTCCAGCAAATGCAGTTTCCATGACTTCATCAATGTCCGTTACAAATAGAGTGACAGCAGGGCTATCTGTCTTACACCAGTGGAGATATTGATGGGCTGTAGAAGTCTGCCACAAGCACTCCGTTTTCTCCAGCTACGCACCTACTGCATTCTGATGTTTGATTGAAGGGTCATTGTGTAGCACTCTTTGCGTGATTGCATTGCGACACGCAGTCTCAACGTCAATCGTGATTCGCCTGGATGTGAACCTTAGTCATTTCGATAGCTAGGATCCTAGTTGAAGCAGCTAGCAATTATGTGTTGCCTGCCAGACATCACTGCATTTCACGACGCAGGTTGAGATTGCAAGCCTCGAACCCGGGACTGTTTGGTTGTTAGTTAGGTCTTCCACCTCTTTAGCCACCGGGTCACGACACGTAACAGGTTCAGTGCAGTGCTTTCGAGCGTGCAACACAGTCGACGCACTAATTATTGATGCATAACTCCTTAGCACGGCCGGCCTATATGGCACATATTATCATGTTAAGCAAGTAGACCAGTTGACCGGGGCGCTTCGCTCATCGATTAACTCGTGTTTGAGCCTGACTAGAACCTTCGTCTATCTAGCTAGCTCCCTTCACTATCGTCTTATTTGTCTTATCTCCTTGTGTGGTGACGCCAGGTAACCTCACTCCTCTGTCACGATTCTTCTCTCTATTCAAATCCAGTTCAGATGTGATTGGCACTTGGTCGACACCCATTACGATTACATCTGCTGAAGTTTACCGTTATTTTACAAGAGTTTCTTTTACGGTATTGAATCTGTTCGCACTGTACCCTCATCATCCGCCATGGCTGCATCATTTAACCAAATTATTTACATAATGGGCGTATCTTGCGATCAGGGGTATGCTTTCTTAGCCTTACTTGTCTCTTTTAACAGAGCATCAGCAGATGATAATGTCGCTGTTTTCTGGCAAATCTTTTCGTTCTGGCATTCGCGTAGCTCTGGACTCAAAAGGAGCGACTGCAATACCCACTATAAAAGGAGCTGTCTCTCAGCAATTTCGATGCAAACTACCATCAGGACGCCAACGTGAATCTTTTTCGTAATTTCCGCCTATCTTTCCTTTGTCTTTTAGTTACACTGCGTCGACATGTTGTCCCAGCTCGCTTCCTGACTTCAGGGCTTCGGATTAGCAAGTAGTTGCACGGTGTTTGTACTACCGTTCATTACGATGTTTTGTGTTCCCTTTGTTTCCGCTGCCTCTTCCGCCATATTGTCGGACTTATGTCCCTTGATTGCAGGATCCGAAAGCGAGGAACACACTCAGCTGTTGATTTATGTCATCCGAATATACTTCGAAAGTGGGTGACGTGTCAGTTAGGCTCGAATTTGTAACAACGGCTCGTCCTTTAATCATACTGGTTACTGCAACCTGTCTAACATCATAAAAATCCGATTAGAAGACCACAAGTCATTACACGAGGTTTTACGCCACTTTTTGGCTATCGATGGAGTTCGTAGTCATTATCAGGCCTTCCATGTTGGGGGTTGAAGTGAGGGTGGCTTCATAAAACCGACTGTCTGTAGCCCATTACCAAAACCCCGCTACCTTGCGGTCAGGTTTTTTAACCAGAGACTTTGGTTAAGAACCTTAATCGTTCCCCTGTCCATGCCTGGGCAACCTGACAGTATTCTGCTCACGTAATACAAAGAAGCGTTGCTCATGCAATTTCTTGATGCTCTGGCCGTCTCAGATGATAATAAACGACGTCCTATCTGCTGCATCGAGGTGGGTGGATAGGGGTTTGGATGCTACTGCTCAAGCGTTCCCGTCTTCTTACCCCCCCTCTTGCGCTTCTTCATTCTTATCGTCCCGCTCCAACTTTACTTTTATCCCCCCATTTTCAATCCCCCAATTCTTGGCCCTTCCCCACCTTGCTTCAGTAGTCGCTTGTCTTCTAGTTTTAACTCACACACAATCACAGGGCGTCGTTCCAGTCCAATCGACAAGTCCATATCCAGCCAAACGAATAACGTCAGTTCACCTGCTTCTGTCCGTAGCCCCCAATTTTCGCTAAGACTGACATGCCTCAATGTGCGCACTGTTGCAGCTTAGCCAATAGGCAGCACTTGCCCGAACACTGGAGACCTTATCAGTCGATATCTACTGTTTATCAGAAACCCGCCTACAGGATTCCAGTTCTGTGATTACCGTGTGATCCCCAACGTGCGACAATCTCGGTATTTTTCCATTTCGGTTCTCCGGAGATGACGCGGCTTCAAATGCCAGTCAAGCATTGCTCTTAGCCCCGGGCTGAAGCTACTCTAGTTGACTGGATCCCTATGAACAGCCGGATGTGCGTTTTCATATTGGCTGGCTCATTCAACGCATCAAAGTCGCGTGGGGACCAACGGTGCCTTTTTGTCACTGCGGCCTACGCGCCCAGAAATTGTAGCGCTAACTCGATGAAAGACGTCTTCTATCACCAAATGGACGCGCTTCTTTGTTCCAGAAAATGTACGGACACTGTGCTGCTTGCTGGTAATCCGAACGCCCAAGTTAGAAAACTGTCCTCTGATGAGCTTCATCTGGGCGGCCAACGCGGTGTAGGCTCCCGTATTGATAACGGTGAGTGGTTGTTACACCAGTGTGAAGATGCCCGTCTCTTTCTCGCGAGCACTAGTTTTCGACACAGTACTCGCAGAAGATTGACTTGGCGCCCACCAGCCATGGACGCAACTCCATCATATTGCTGTCACTTTCTGCTGAAGAGTCATCATCATCATTATGCACGTTAGTTAGAGGTGTAAAATACCTCAGCTACTGTGCCGCAATACATAAAAGAAAATAAATGCAACAGTTGCATGCCAGCTGAGCTACCAGCAACGGATGGGCATCGTTCCGGAAAGCTAGCAGCCGGCTACTAGGCAACAAGAACATGATGTAAAATTATATTATGCTACGAAATGAGATCGTGCTTGGAGGGGGAGGCTAAAAGGGATAAGGAGGAACAAAGAAACTCACAGCAAGAACACCAATGAGGTCGACTCCTAGTCATGTCAGCAAGTGTATCTAGCCAAACGTGTTCATCGTCTTTTGGACCCAAACCAGGGAGCCGTGAAGCTCCAACCGAGGCCAGTTCCGAAGTGAGGGCCTTCATTCCTCTCGACCAAGTCATTGTTTGGCCACCCCTCCTCTTCTACCCTCCAGATCCCCGGTGAGCAAACAACACACGTCCCGGGAGTTGGTGGGCTGGCATGCGCAACACGTGGCCCAGCCATCGGAGCCTGGTGCGTGAAATGACAGTGCTGAACCTTACGTTAAACAACTTCTGCTGGAGACGCTGCGTCCACAATTGTCGCTCGATTTGACGCATATGGTTGGACATTCACCATGCACTTGTATGTGCTGGTCTGCGGGTGCCTTTCAGCGGACTTCCGCAACGGCGCTGTGAGCGCATAGATACTTGCCAATTGGCGAAGTTAGATGTTTTGGATGCCTATCAAAGTACGCTGACATCCGAGCTGAGTAAGGACTCACTGAACACATTTGAAGGTCACTGATCACTTATCCGCCGGACGTTATTAGCAGCAGACATGTCTTTATGTCGCAAATCAACCTGCTAACCTGGACATTCGGTCTCTACCCAGTCTTTGGAACTTATGGATGCTCGATGACATGTTTCGGCTGGAAACGAATACAATGAGACCTGCAAAGATCTAAGGACAAAGCTGTGCTGGTCGAAGGAGAGGCCGCAAAGCGTGGTGGTCTCATCGAATGTGGAAATAGCCGCTGCCGTTTGTAATCATCGTAAGTTGTTCCGTCTTATACGCGGAACGGGCAGCAGGAGACCTGATGTTAGCAGGACCATATGCG